TTACCTCTTTGTTGTCTAAAAACAAGCTAACTGATTTAAACTGGTGTCAGCTACAACTTTGTTGATCTACCTTATTAACAGGTGTTGGTATTTTGCTGGGAAACATTGGTTGATCCCAGCTGGTTCACAGTGTTAGGTGATGCTCATAGGTCCACCCGATTAAGAGATGGGAGTGATCCCCCTGAGTAGACAATTTAGAAGCAGGAAGTCCTACATAAATAATCAAGCCTAAACTGGTTTCATGTGTTCAGAGACCTGAAGAAGAATGTCTTGCATTTGAAAGCTTATCTAACTTTATCCCAACTACATAGCTGATCCAGTAAAAGATACTGCCCTAAGAAATACTTGCCTCTCATTCCTTTTAATTTAATTTAGAATTAGGATCACTTAAACACATACATTACGATATTTATCATCCTATCCAGTGTCCTATTTCTTAATATAAAATAAAACCTTAATTCAAGATACTGTAATTTATTCTAGCTCAATACTCTGCCAATAACAGTAGTGCCATCTAAAAAGATTATTATAAATAGGAATCTCTAAGCCATTTAGTATGTGACTTCTATTATATTCTCTTGTATATATTTATTATGCCACAGTTCTCAGATGTATTAGGATAACGATATCTCAGTTCAATAGCAAGATTAATCTAGCCTGGTAAAAATGTGCAGTTAAGAAGTGTTGAAAGAAGTAAAGGGGTATAGGCTGTAGCTGTGTTGGTCTAAGGACATAGGCAGACAAGGTTCTTTGAGTGAATCTGATATCTTTTATTAGACCAACTTAAATAGTTGGGAGAAAACATTTTGGCTAGCTTTTGGGTTTAAAAACCCTTTGTCAGAAGTATCTGCAGTTGGTGTGTGCTCTTCCTAGATGGAATGAATAGTAAAGAAGCCAGAGGCTGGGCTGGTATGCATGAGACAGGCAGTCAGTGAAGATGTAAATTGAGGAGTCAGTAGGTGAGAGACAGGCAGAGATGAGGTGTGGAGAAGGGGGATGAATGTAGCAGCTGAATAGTGGAGAGGTACCTGGGGAGTCAGATGTCAGGCAGGTTATAATGTGTCATAAATCTAATGTCTATATTTAGTCCATGATTTTTTGTATCCAGGACAGGAGGTTGATGAAGTGAAGTACATAGACCCGTCTCTGAAAGAAGTAAAGCACACTTATATATGCATCATGGTGTTGCCTGTGATCTTACTTCCATATAATCCCTGAGCCCTGTTTCATACAGTGAATGGGCTGTGTTATAGGTGAATCCTCTGATCAATGCATGCTCTTCTACTTTGCTGTGTACTATTGAACTTTTGTAGTGACTCAAGCAGATGTCTGTTCAGCCTGTGTTATTCAATAGGTAGCATACATTTTGCAAACTAAACTCATAAACATGCTTTTCAACTACAACTGTGAATTGCAGTTGACTTTAGATCAGTGGTTTTCAACCTGTGGTCTGCAGACCTATGGGGGTTTGTAGACTATGTCTAAGGGGTCTGTGAAAGATGACTATGATCAATCAAAAGTATGTGAATACAGTACCCATAGCTTTCACGCCTTAACACACACAGTATCATCCATATCACGAGTTTTACTTGTCTGCAGCTTGAAGTAGTTTCCCCCAAACCGCTATACCTATCTCCTTGAAACTTGACAGGCTTTGTGGCCTCTACAGGGGCTAGTACACCTGCAGTTTTGACCTCGCTGTGGCTTAACACATACACGTGACATGAGTTTTACTTTCAAGATTTTGGGGTGCAGTTTCCCCAAACCCCTGCACCTATCTCCTTGAAACTTGCCAGCATTCATGCCCTCAGAAGAGGCTACCATTCCTGCAAATTTCATCCAAATCAGGCCAGAAATGACAATGTTACAGTCTGTTTGTCCTTCCCCATTATATCCTATTGGTGAAACAGCGAAACAGTTTTGCCATTTCGACCCTGTTTCGATGGAACGGAACAGAACAGCTGTTTGGAATAGAAACAAAATTCAAAACAGAATGCTGTTCCGTCAAAACATAGAAACACTGGTCGAAACAAAACACTGCCATTTCGCACAGCCCTACTGATTATTCCCCACATTGATTATTGAGGACCCACTGCGTCTCTGGCTCATGAAGCCATATGTCAGCCAGCTGGACTTCATGGAGGAGCACTTCATTTATGGATCAAGTAGCTGTTAGCAGGTTGGGGAATGTACCTAAGGTGCACTGGAGGTCTCTGGGGGATTCACCTTGATTTTAGGCTGAGGAACATTCCCAGCTTAATGACTACTGCTTGCATCCTTCACAACATATGTGAAGGGTGAAGCCATCCTGAAAATTGGCTTTTCTCTGAATGAACCCATGGGTAGGAAACCCCTGGTACTTTGAATGGTGCCTGGGCCAAAGCTGCCTTCCCAGCTGAGTGTCCTGGACAAAGCCACCGATAGACCATTCTGATCAGGGTAACCTTGGCTGACTACTTTCTGGGACAACATTCTGTGGGATGGGAGAAGCGTCAGGGGACCTCTGAGTGCTTGTGAACTCTTCATTCACCACCCTGTACCTTTTTAATGTGTTTTTCCAAAACTTCAGTAGACATATTTTGCACTAACTTTTGGGCTTAATGCTCCCTGATGTGCGCAGTATGAAATGGAGGAGGGAGACTGAGGAATGGAGCACCAGGAGATTCACAGGGCACCTTGGGTCCTGTATTGGGAGTTTATGAGGTCTGGCTGAGAGGGGGAAACCAAGGCACAGGCTGCTGGGTGAGTCAGGGTTGTGGGTCAAGTTGAGGCCTGGACAGGAGGTACGAAGTGATACATTTCTTAACTGTGCAAACTTTATTTCTTCCAATAAACTGTGCTAAATATCCTGGGGGTGGTTTTGGGTCCACCCAACTCCCTTATCTACAGGTCTCCCTGCTGGCTGGAAGGGTCCTTGGAGATGCTATGGTGTGGAAGCATGCCCCCCAGTCTGAGCCAGGTGGTTTCAAGGAGCTCAATAGCTGCATCTCTGTGAGCAGATCTGAATCAGCATTACTTGGGAGCTGGATGGGAGAAATAGGACCCCGAACCATCTTCGCATCTCATCATTGAAGTTCAGGTAACTTTTTATAGTACTGCCCACCTAGTGCTGGGGTGCAGGCACGTGGGCGGGTGACCCCCACTGTGAGTCACCCCTGAGCCATCCCAGAGTCCCTAGTCACTCCACCAGTTACCCTTCCCATTGGGGTTGCTGAAACTTTCCAGCCACTGGTACTTCCATGTTCACTAGCTCCATGAGGGTCTCATTTGAGCTGTCTAATTGGGGCTGGGGCTGGGGCTGGGGCTGGGGCTGGGGCTGGGGCTGGGTGGTGAACACATCCACTGAGCAGGCATCCACATCCTCCTCCATGGCTGCTTTGATAGCAGGCAGTAAAGAGAGGACTCTCTCATTGTTTTCATTGTCACTGTTGCATTGCACCAGACCTGGGGGTAAGCAATGCATAATGTGGTGGTAAGCGACACTGTAGTTCACTTTGATGATCCTCAACCACTCCTTATGGTAGGGGAGCACAGTCCTGGCAATACCTGAGACCTTGCTGGCATCCCTGCCCTGAACATACTGTAACTTCATGCACTTGATTTTAGTGCAGATCTGCTGCCAGTCCCACTGATGTCCTCAAGCCACTATCTGAGCTGCAATGCACTTGTAGAATACCTGATTTTGTCAACTGGCCTTCTTGCCTTTAGTGTTAGTGGTGATGGTTCTCTCCTTGTCCCAGATTGTGAGGTGAAGCAGCTCATCCCCAGTCCAGTTCACGGCCCTCCCGCACTGTTCCATGGAGGACATGCTCTGGTTTGATTAGGTTTCTGAAGCTAAGTGATTCCTGTTTGCACTGGAGCACTCGAGCCAAAGTGGCAAGCCTCAGCGAACCTTGAGGTGTTCAGTAGGTGCTTCGGGTGGTGCCTTATGGGCCAGTATCTTATTCCCCTGGGTTGGGCAGGGGTGTTGCCTTGAGATTGGTACCACCCCCATAGGCAGTAGAGTTCAGATAGGTAGACAAGTTGACCTTTGGAGTGGAAGTTGTGGGGGGCTGGGAGCAGTGCATCCTGGGATGTTGAAGAACTACAAATTGCTTGTATTATCTCTATAGTGCAGGCTGACAGTATCTGAACATGTATTATGGAGCTGTTCCCCCTGCTGCTGCCAGGTAAGCAGGGGGTGCCTCACCATGCTGGCATGGCCAGCATGGGGCTGCCAGCAGTGGCACCGAGGCTCCCCACCTCACTCTACCACGGAGGCCCCAGGGGGAGGGCAGGGAGCCCCAAGCCCACAGCAGGCAACCCGTATCCATCCTCACCCCATGCACTAATCTGTGGAGGCATGTTCCTCCACCCCATAACTCCCGCCCTGGGAGTGCACTTGGTGGCAGGGTGCCAGCCACCCTGGCGGCCCCTAAATGAGCCACCTGTGGCTCCATCCTGCTCTACCAGCTGGGTCCCACATTCCCACCCCAGTCCTGGGTCCCATGTACCAGCCTGGTTGAGCAGCACCCCTACCCCCAGCCCTGCTCCACTCTCTCCCTCCCCATGGGGGCCTGAATCTGCCCTCCCCCCATAGGCTTACCTGCAAGGAGCTGTGAGAGCTGTTCTCCAAGCTGCCTGGCTGCCATGTGTACGTGTGCGTGTGCACATGCATGTGGCGCTCCTGCCTGATTGCCCTCCTCCCTCTCCCCCCAACCCCAAGCAGCCCTTTGCAGGCTAGAACTCTGTCATTCCCCACTCTTTTCTCCTTTAAAGGATAAAATCCACATTTTTATGCAGCAAACGAAAAAGCCAAATCCCTGTATAATCAGTCAACACTGTCGAGTGTCTTTGTGACCCCATTTTTTATTATTCCCAAATGGGGTCATGACCCTAAGGGTGGGCACCCCTGCTCTAGAAGAACCTGAACTTTTAACCAATCCACCTGGTGCCCTACATAGACAGCATGGGCACACGTGGTTGTGCAGATTGAGTAGCAGGAAAGGTATGTTTGAGTTTGAGCAATTGTATTTCAGTGACAGCTGAATGTATCTAGTGAGAGAGTAAGCTGAGTGAAATGACTGGAAGCTGTCTCATTGACATTGAGTGACAGGCCCTTTACCTCAGAGGACTGAATGATGAAAAGTAGAGTAAATGGAGCCTGTCTAACTGCACCTGGGTTCTGTGAGAGTATGTCTGTATGAGATCTTCATCGTTGAGGTTTGTTACTGTGTTGGTGAGGTGTTGGTGTGATGTGGTGTGTTCATGTGAGGTGCTTGTGCTTGTTAGCCTGAATAGTGTGTTGGTGAGATCCTTGTGTGCTTTGTGTCAGCAATAGTAGACAGTAAATTAGAGTGAAACTTGCAGCTCTGCTTCATGGAGAGCTAGAGTAGCAGCTTGCTCCAGCCTGTCTCCCCTGACCTCCTTGCTTTGCTATTATCTCTCTGGATCAACAGCTGTTTTTTGATGCAGACTGTATGGGATCTGTTTAGCTTCTGTTTCATATTCTTTGATGATACTATTTAATCTCTACACTATTTTGATAAACTGTTTGTATCCCTGTTATAATCCCTTTTTAGTCTCCACTCTTCTCTTTTACCCAGTCCCTATTTTATTACCTTAATAAATTTCACTTTTTCTACTTTAATCTTTAATTTTGATTCTGTGTGTGCGTGTCCAACTTCAGCAAAACTTAGGCTACACTCCCACCCCGTCTGGGATCTTGGGACACCGTCACAGATGGTCAGCCTAATATTAACCCAATTCCACTTGCACCACCTAGGATATAAATTTAGTTAGTGTTTAGTGCCTCATATAGGAGGTAGTAAATTTAATGTGCATTAGTAAAAGCACATTAATGCATGTATAGATGGGCGCATTGGGTCTAAATCTTAAATTTGAGCACACGATAGTTTGGCACCCCTGGGTGGATAAGTAAGGAGTTAATTTTACTAAACCATTAGCACTTTGTTTGCCTCATTATCAAGCTTGAGACTAACCACATTAACAAACTAACATATTAACTGGTCTTATAGTAACAGAAGTTTCGTTAGTTTCTTGTTGGTCATTAAAAGGTTAATAGGACATTGACGTTGTTTTGGTGCTTGGATTTCTGGGATACTTTTTAATTTTTTTGGTAGTTATTGTTATTGTAGTGAGCTGTGGTAGACATGCAGTTGGTTACTGATGAAAGTGTCAGAAGCATGCACTCCATAGTTAGGGAGTTCGAGGATTGATTGGAGCTGGTGATACTGAAAAAGAACTTCTGGCACTTCCCACTTCTAGAGTTGCACTTTTGGGATGCTGCTAGCCTTAGGGGTACTGAGAACGTTTATAAAAGGAGAGGAGTAAGAAAGGAGAGTAGCAAGTATGTATACATTACCAGCTTAAAAAGGCCAGCATCATGGGTATTTTTGCATGCAACTGTGAGATGTCAAGGAAAGCCAAACAAGAGGTTGAGTGTACTAATGCATTGAGGATGCAGATTGGTTTGAAAAATCAGTAGAGGAGATTACTGAGGAAAAAGATTTGGAAATTGAACATTTGAAAAACCAGATTAGCACCCTCCAGGCCAATTCATGGAAGGACACTAGTCATACTGTAGATTTTAAGCACATACATAAATTTGAACAGGAGGTTTGTTGTGTAGAAAGGGAGAAGGAAGCATGGTATAGCAAGGCACTTGACTTGCAAGCAGCTTTCCAGCTAAAAAGTGAAGTATTTAGTACACTGGAGGTAGATCACTGTGCCTGTAAGGAAGCTAGTAAAGCCCTGGAGATGAAGCTGTCTATGGTTTGTGGAATGCTTTCAATGTATCAGAAGGTGCTGGAAGTACCTCTGAGGTTAGTAGTGATCTAGAAAGTGGCATAAGTTGTAGCTTGTTTACTCACTGTGATCGTGAGGTTGAAACTAAGGAACTGTTGTTACTGGAAACCAGATCTGTTGAGGTACCACCAAGATGACTGTCTCCAAAGGAACCTAGAGTGACACCATCAGGACCTATGGCTCCTCTTTGGACGAAGGGGGTTATGAGGCTAGGAGTAAGAAGACAAACAGAGACTGTTCAAACCACCACTCCATTTACCTCAGATCAACTCCAAGCTATAGGGCAGAGTTTGTCAACTGGGGGTATGTGTACCCCCAGGGGTACTTGAGAAGGCCCTAGGGGGTAAGCGTGGGTGGGGATGGAGCCCCGCCATGCCTCATCCTGTGTCGCTGCGCGTGTGCTGCCACAACCGCCATACATCATCCTGTGTCGCTGCGCGTGTGCTGCCACACAGGCACTGCCTGCCTGGCCATCCGGCTGCCAGGGATACACTAATCCAAAAAGGTTAAAAACCTCTGCTATAGGGAAAAGATTAGGGCCATTGAAACATAAGTCTGTTATGTGTTGGCTTGTTGATATTATGGCTGTAAATTCTGTTAATCATTATACTGTGACTGATGTAAATTGACCTCATACAAGAATGAATGGAAGGTAGAGATTTTTCAGCATTGCCAATTCAGATCAGAAATAGAGCCTATAAGTACATCAGGGGTGTGCATCAGGATCTGAGGGAACATCTGTTCACCAAAGCTCCCTAAGGGATGACAAGAACCAATGGTCACAAACTCCTCCAAGACTATTTTAGGCTGGACATAAGGAAAAACTTCATTACTCTCCAAGTCCCCAAGGCCTGGAATAGGCTTCCTCCAGAGGTGGTGCAAGCACCTACTCTGGACTCCTTTAAGAAGCATTTGGAGGCTTATCTTGCTGGGATCCTTTGACCCCAGCTGACTTCCTGCCCTTGGGGCAGGGGGCTGGACTCAATGATCTCCCAAGGTCCCTTCCCGCCCTAACGTCTATGAAATCTATGAACAGTGGTAGACACCGATATGATTAGAAATGCTATATTAGATTTTTACTTCTTTTTGCTTCTGCTGGGACTTAAACTCGGAGGTTCCTGGCTAAAGGTGTCAGAAAAGAATTTTACCCCATGATCAGATTGGTATGTACTGTGGGGGGTGGGGTTGCCTCCTCTGTAGTGTGGGGTGTGTCCTTTACTTGGGATCTCTTTAGCGTATATTAAACGTTTTACAGAAGCAGGATGTTGGCTGCTGTGGTCCCCCTGCTTTACCTGTGGTAGGTTAGAGTTCTGTGTCTGTCAGGATAGATTGTGTAGTTTTGCTAAGAAGTTAGACAATGGATTTGCATAGGATGGTTTGGGTAGGGATGATCCTGCATCAGGCAGGGTTGGTCTAGATGACCTTCCAGCCCTACTTTTCCACACTTGTATGATTTCAGACTAACGCAGCTAACTGCACTTCTTTAATTATATTTTTTTTCATTTTGTTTATAATTCCCTTCTTTAAAATGCCTAATATTGTATTAGCTATATTATTAACAGCTAGTACAGAACACAGTACTGTGTACATATAATTGAAGTTATTTTCCTCCATACGAACTTGTTGACACTGAAGCTCATATGCCATTTTTGTCCACTCAGTTCACTTTGTGAGGAAGTGAATGTGAACTGAAGAATAGAACTGTGGAACTGCATTGTAGAGGACTGTTCCCTAAACTCTGCAACTGAGATTTCAGCTATCTCCTGACTGCAAGGTGGGGAGGGAGGTTGGGGGTCGGAGTCTGCCTTACAGGAAACCTCTGTCTCTGATCTATATCCCCAGCTGGGCAAACAGCCTGGGCATAAGAGTTTTGCCTGTGGAGAGCAGAAATCCAGCTTGCAATGAAAACACAACTGTATAGGCTGCTCTAGATCTTTAATAGTAAGTTGTAGTACGGTATAGTGTCTAGGAGCCTTAATCCTTGACTAGGACCCCATTGAGCTCGATGCTGTACAAACAGAGAATAAAAGGACCTTGGTCTCAAACGTACTATATCACCTTTTATCAATCATCTTTCCTTTGCTCTCTTCTCCTTGTCTTTGCTGTATGCAGTTTGTAAAGGATCTAAGTACTACTAAATAGCTGCTGCAGGGAACTTCCAGCCCATGCTGATTTTTCTACTTTTGCATTTGCCTAGAAGTAAGACACTATAGTGAAGAGATGGCAATTCAAAAAAAAGAGAGAGAAATCAAGTGATTCTGTTTTTAGCAACTTGAGGAAGTATTTTGTTGCTTAAAAAACTGATTCTGCCCTAAGACTTCAGCTGTCAGCATTGATCCGGATGCATGGTAGTCACCTCTGA